GAGAATAGCAATATTCTGGTTAGACATTTGCAGGAAGAACTTAGGAACTATGTAAGTTTGTCTTTCCATCGGTGATTTAAATGTGGGGAAGGTTTTTATCTATCAATCAATTGATAAAAATTAAGCATTTATGTAAGAGCAAATAGTTTCTCTATAATCTGCCTCCATAGCATCCCATGCAGGGAAAACAAGAAAATAGTTTACTTCCTTCACAAAACTAGCTAAATGATTATTTTACGGGAGCATGCTACTTAATCTTGAAGAGTGTTCTTCAATATTGTTTCTTCTGAAATGGGTTACAGAAGACTTAATTTCATAAAGATAGTTTACAGAAAGGTGATAAGATAGGGGAAAATAATTTGGAATTATGGGTTATTTTCTTTCACTAGGAATTTACCTAGCTATGGTGCATTTCTAGCTAATAAAATTGGAACCAGACATTCCAGGTCAAGACAACATTGTGAATTTTAAACTGTAAGTAGGAAAAGCTACTGTTCAACATAAGAAAATATGTGAAGGCAGACTATGGAAAAGAAGAAATAGGAGAGCCTTTAAGGATGTTGTTATTTGTTTGATAGAGTTAGGGAAGCAAGACTTGTATCCATAAAAATTTTTACTTTATACCTTGAGATATGAGAAAATGCATTTGATAGATGCTCCCATTTTCTTCTTGTCTTTTGGTTGAGGTTACATTTTATTTTGGTTTTTTGGTACATTATTTTAGGAATTCTCATATGGCCATCTAATTTATTGACTTGGTTCAAATTGTACCAGGAGTCTGAAGTGCGAGAGGCTAGAAAGCTCAGATCATCTCATGATAACATTGAGTTGTTGAAGGAGAAACTTTTAGAGGAAAAGAGTCGTAGAGAGAGGGCAGAGGCAGAGTTATCAAAATTACAAGAATTAGAACTAAGCATGAAAAAAATGGAGGATGAGTTATTATCTTGGAAGTTGTTGCTTAATGACATTCCAGATGTGTCAAGTCCAGATGATATACTTATGAAGATTGCAGCTCTACAAAAGTAAGAAGCTTTATTTATAAGTGGAAAGATTCAATTTATGTGCCCTACAATATAAGCATTTCTTTTTGTTTTTCTTCTTTTTTTTTGTGGTTGTCAATCCATGGTCTTGCTAGTTCATTACTTGGATCAAGTGATATATTGAGATATTAAGTGCTATGAGCATCAACTACATTCTATAATCAACAATTTGGTTATCTCTCAGTATCTTGCTCTTTTATATCTATTCTTTCATGGAAAAATATTGTCATCATTGAAATTAGAGTGGTTGAATTAAATTTTTTAATCTGTATTTTGGTGTAGTTTGTATAGTATATATATAAATTTACCAAGAAAATTTAGGAGATATTTTAGGAGAATAAATCTAATCAGACTAGCCTAAACCAGCCTAGAATCAAGGATCCTAATTGAAAAAGGAATCTTGATAGAATCAGGAAGCTCCCCTCCACCTTTGAAATGAGTACTGAGAAGGAAAAGTTTAAAGATTTAATAAAGGACCCAGATTCATACAATTCCTTAAAAAGCTCAAGAATGTCCTCTTTCATTTCATGTCAATTTTTTTTCAGAAAATGGATGTTGAAACCATCGGGTCCAGGAACTTTATCCATTTTACATTGCATGAGTTCGTTAAGAATCTCCTCCTTAGCGAACTCTCTTTCAAGCAATTCATCCCAAGACATGAAGGTCAGATTGTCCAACTTAGGCCTCCAATTGAGCTCTTCGCAAGGTAATCTGCAAAAAGAATTCCATGACCCATTGCCTTAGTTGCTCATTACTCTTCACTAACCAGTCATCTATCTCAGTCTCCTCCACATAGTTGGTCCTCCTCTGGTGATTTATCATGCAGTGAAAAATTTGTGTTTCTATTTCCTTCCTTTATCTATTTGGCTCTCGATTTTATTTCGTTACTTTTTTTTAAAATAAAAAGTATGAATACTATTAATAATGCACCAACGGGGTGCAACTCATGTACAAAAATAATTACATGTTAGTAAGGCAGTCAATCATATACCCAAAATCTTCCACCCTGTACAAATCATGCCCCATCAACGAATCTTTATGATATCTTCTCAAGTTGTAATCTGTTTGCTAATTCAAGTTTTATGGATTCTATGTGTGCCAAGTCTTTAGTGAAGAAAACACCTTCGCATTCCATCCTATCAATGGCTTCAATATCCTATAATAGAGATTAAGCGTACATACTTTCACCCCTCCCCTCCTCCTTGCACCACTTCTTAGTTTTGGCCTTTATTACCTTCGTCTTTTGAGTCACTCTGAAACTAGCTTTGCCATCCACCGTTCCTCCTCTTCACAATTCACTGATCTTGTTGTAGAGACTATTAACTTTTAACCATTCACTTTGATGATAGTGTCTTCTATAAGGGCTGATACTTTGGTACGACAGGTAACCATGGTGATCAGCAATGAAGGAAGCGAACCCTTGGCCATCCTGTGGGTGATTCTAAAGGAGAGTAATAGAAAGACCTTTAATAATATTTTATCTTTTTTTTTTTTATAATTTTTATGAGTAGAATAGAGATTTATGGTTACAAATCCTGTATATTTTGATTCAGAGGCAATCATTTTGTTTACGATGAGGATTAGACCTTTTACTTTGTCTTTTTTCCTCCTTTAAAGGGAGGATGCCTTATTCCCCTTGATTATATTTTTTCATTCATTTAGAGGTTCTTCTATTGTAAAAAAGTAATGAGGATTTATTATAATTTATTGATATTTTGATAGATTTGGAAATGACTACATTTTGCATAATGGCAGCACCTCCTTCATGCTTTGTTTATAACATTCTAGGTTATATCTAGAAAAAAGTGATTGTGGTCAGTAATGCTACTAGTTTTGCTCGTGGCACATCTGTTTATCCAAGGATTAAGGGAATATGGATGGCATCTAGTTTTCTCTTTTGACACTTCTAACTTCTTGCCTTTAGATCCTGGGCCTGTAATTGCTTTGTGGCTTTCACAAAAAAAACTGTTTGTTCTTGTGAGATCCTCCTACCATAAGCTTCTTTCACAAGATGAGGTTGCTTTGGGATTCCCTTTGTAAGTAGATGTGGGAGAAAAGAGATGTCCCCTTTAATTTTGTTTGAAGCCGCTTTAGATGAAGTTCTCACCTTTGATGAGTTGAGAAAGCATGGGAGATTCATTGGCAATAGATGCCTATGTTGATTGCAAGAGATTGAAGCCACCAACCATCTCCTACTTTGGTGTGCCAAGACTAGAAAGGTTATAGGAATTCATTTTTGTCCCTCCTTATTTTGTCTTGACCAAGTGGCGATTTGGTTGTTGTGAATTATGGTAGAATGGTATTAGGCCTTGCAAATCTAGGAAGAAGTGTATGTCCCTTGTTTTAGTTGACTACCATTTGGGTGATTTGGAAAGAAAGGTGCAAGGGGTTTGTTAATGTCATTGTGTCTCCATTTGCTAGTGTTAGAGACGATTGGTTCTACACCTTAAGAATTTTGTTTAATTGTCATTTTCTTGACTTAGTAGGGAACCTACGGAACTTTATGGATATTTTGTTTTCTTTTGGCAATATGGAAAGCTTCTTTTGTGTTTAGGTGGTACTCTGTTGTTATTGTCTCTCTTTAAAAAAACGTGAAAACCCTTATTGAAATTCTCTTATTTTTACCTTTTCGAAAACAAAGTTGTCAACAATTTCTTTGGTGATTGATAAAACGAATAAGGATTTTGATGGGTGACGAAACCAAGTAGGTTGAACACATTTGAGAAAGTTTGATTCTGCATTGAGATTGATAAATATGTACACGTTGGGTTAGAGAAAGCTTTTGTATGAATATGCTAGAGGAGCAACTTGTCTAATTGCCCGGACAGGACCTTGGTGACAATAGACATTGGTTACAAGACCAATAGGTCAAAAATCTGCAACCTTAAAATTCCTTTTTAGAGTTCATGCTAATTCTAGTTCTCCCACTTTGGTGTAATTGCTGAAACCTTGAATATATCCTCTTTCACCAGCTTCTAATTGAGTTTGGAAGAAAACAATTGAAAAACTGTCAAGACCTAGTGCTTGATCAGTTCCTAAATTCTCAAAAGGCTCTTCTAATCTTCTCTTCCTCAAAAAGTCCCTCTAATCCTCTAGCTCTACCTTTATTAGTTGGGCTCCGGTCTAGGCTCTCAAGGAAGGGTTTGTCAAACATCTCCTCCTCATATAATCTCTTATACAAACTAGCAGTCCCAATATTGATTGAAGCAGAATTCCTAACTACCCTACCATTCTTAAGTTCCAACTCGTTGCTGCAGCTATTCCATTACATGGTTAGCTGGATGAAATATATTTGTTGGATAATCTGTAATAAATTTTTTGTCAGATTTACAGTATGGTCTATTAGAGACAATATTTAGATATATTATGTGTCTTGAGCATAAAACACTTGCTACTTAGTAGTTGATCTACTCTTGTTTGTTTTTTATGTGCTTTTTTCTCGTTGTTGTTTTTTGAAATAAAAAGTGTAAATGTAGGATTATAGACATAGTATCATAGGGGGTACCACCCATGTACGGTAAATTTATAATCTAGTTAGGGTATCAATGACAAACCCAAAATACACATATCTCATCATGGGGTACCACCCATGTGCATTTTTCTATTGTTATGAGTGTTACAATTGCAAAATTGTCGAAAAGCAAGTTTCTATTGGAATGCTTGTATTCACTTTCAGACAAGTGTTGAAAGTTGGACATGGTCAAACCTTGGGGTGGGGGAGAGGGAACTTGCTATTTTCTGAATGGACCAGCTTCTGGAAAGTTCTATTATACTATTTCTTGGATCTATTAAGATCTATGAGCTATCTGGCTTGGCCTCGTGGGGATGGTAGTTAAGGAGGTGGTTCTCTTTCTTCTGTTTGAATGGTTGCTGGGTAAAATATCTTTGCCATTGATGATGCTCAAACATATTTTTTGGTGATATCTGGTGGTTAGGGAAATAAGTGATTGGTTAACAGTCTTCTTTTCTTTTCCTAATCATTGAGTTTTTATTGCAGTGTGAAACTAGACTAACTTTAGCGAATATGTACTGACCATCCTTCTATAGGAGTTTGTTACTTCCCTTCTCTCTTCCTAAGGCTGGGCTTTGAGCTGCCAAGCTTGCTTTAAGGTGTTTTCTAGATATGCCATGAGCTGTGTGTTCCTTGATATGTGTTTGAGGCCCAAAAGAAAAGAAAAAGGTCTGGTGAATTCGCATTCCTGTCTGATGATGTTGAGATTTCTGTTAATGAAGGGAGGTAATTGATGGCACGATGAAGACAGGTGAAACAAATGCTCGCTTGAAGCAAATGGAGGTTGCTCTGGATGCTGCTGAACTTGCCAAACAAAGTGCTGAAACAGAGGCGCTACTTGCTAAAGTTAAGGCAGAAGCATTGAAATCAGAGGTTAAGCGGATTGAAAAAATGGTGGGTGTTACATTACGTAGATATGCTATTATGTTATCTTCATTTTTACTCATTATACATCTATGCTTTCTCTCTTCCAGTAATTTTTGTCTTTTTTCTCTCGGGTATGAATCAGAGGCATTACTAAAACAAAGGTTGGGTAATCTATTAAGTTCCAGAAACAAACAGCCATTTGTTGAAGATGGGAGTCTACTTTTCAAAGAAAGGATTTTGAAGGGGTGAGCATCCATTTTTTGGGATTAGGGATGGATATTTCAAACCTATGATTTAGTGTTTGCTCTCTTGGGATGAAGAGGAGCTAGAAGAGCTTATAATTCTTTTCTCATCTTGTATCTGACATAAGTCAATACCATTTATTTATTTATTTTGAGATAATGTCAATACCATTTATATGCCCTTCTCTTTCATTTCCATGAGATATTAGAGAATCAATAGAAGATCCAATGATGGGAAGTGGCTCCACCTAGCATCACAAAAATTAAGAATACATTAGGTTTAAGTCTGAAACATATTTTATGGCAGCCTAGATTTAGTATATATTTGTTTGGTCAAAATTTGCTCCTTGGCTTTCCTGTTTGGCCATATTAGTCTTTGGAAATTTCTGGCTGTTTAGTTTCATATTTTCTGCTTAAAGCGACATGGTGATTACTTTGAGATGCTTATTCATTGGTGCTAATTATAGATCATATCAATGATTATGATGAGCTTTATGACTATGTATAAAACTGTATCTTAATATTTCAAAAGTTATTGTTAACTTATTCATTTACAATTACCTGATGAAAGATTGTTTCTAATTGCAGCTTTCATTGGCTACTGAAGAGAGAGATAGGTTGAGAAATGCTGTCAATGGATTGAAAAGATCAAAGAATGAAGAAGCTGAGGGTGAAGCAGTAAATGGAACCCGTGTTCAGGTTCTTAAATTCTATATCATTTTGTCTATTATTCATAAGATTGTTTCTTCTTCGAAATAGTATAGTTTTATCTGGTTTTCATGTGCAGGAGCTTGAAATATCTCTTGCTAAGAAGGAAAGTTATATCAAAGATTTGGAGAATGAGTTAACTGAACAAAGGGATGTCAATAATCACCAACATGATGAAGTAAAGTTGCTGAACGAGAGGCTAAGTAACGAAACAAGAAGAATAAAATCATTGGAAAGGGAAAGTGATCGGCTTCGTTCAGAGATTTCCTTACTCGAAGCCAAGGTAGGTGCTGAAGTAAAGAATATTGCTGCCTTTTCTGGAAGAGTTTACCATGTTTATCTTTGTCATGGTAAGCTTGGTGGATGTTCAAATTTCATGCTTTGTGTGGAACGGCCTTTGCATGCTTACCAGTTTAAAGTGTATAACTAGTCTTGTGAGTGGTCCATTTACTTGACCTTGCTGCAATCTTATACTTTGCCGTCTTCCCTTTCTAAAGGAGAAGTAATGCTAACTTGAAGTCGTGTTTTTCATCCAGGCAGAATTAATATAGCACCTCAATAATAGCAGAACTTGGAAAGTAGTTTTTATGTGTTCGATTTCTATTCTCATCGTTTTAGTAGAATTAGAGTCTTTTATCTTTTATTTCTTTTACACCAGTCTCTCATTGGGGTTGTTTTAATTCTCTTAGTTTCCTGTGTTCTTGTTATGATTGTATTATAAGTTTTCAAATATTTGTAATTTCCTGTAGAACAATCTTTGAACATTTTTGGGCAGTTTATGCTTTGTAATTTTGTGATGCAACGGAAACCTTAAGTGTGATATGTAAGTAATTTTTTTGATGTGATATATGAGAAACTTTAGGTGTAATATTTATGTTTGTCACCTTGGTGCCTTATACTTAATTAAGGATAAACATAAATATTACTCTAGGTATGATATTTATGGTTGAGATGATTTTGGGAAAATCATTGATGTTCTAATTGAGATGTAAATTTTTTGTACATCATGGCACTCCCTTAGTGTCTTATACTTAATACCCATTCTTTTTACCTTAAAAAAAGTCATATTTACGTTTGTCCTTAATTTCTACAAAGAGAGATTAATCCTTACCTGCTCTACATCTTATGTGAAATTCATAGGTAATGGAATTTTGTTCCAGGATATTCTTTGGCACTGTGGATGTACAGAGATGGAAATAAGAATATAATCTGTCCCTTCTATATTAATACATATTATCAGTTGCGTTGTTAGAGTTGCTTATTTTCTCCAGAAAAAAATTTAGATTTCATTTTCTTGTTCTTTTTTAACAGTTGGGCCATGGTGATTATTCTGCTGCAAATACCAAGGTTTTGCGAATGATAAATACCCTCACAGTAGATAATGAGGCAAAACAAACTATAGAGGCTTTACGGACAGAGTTACAGAAGACCAAAGAGAAGTTGCAAGCCGTTGAAGAACTGAAAAGTCAATCAGGTACAGCTTAGTTCTTCTAGTTGTTATTTTTGTTCACTTTCTTGCTTTGGCCCGTGAAATAATATTTAAGCAGAAAAAATGGCTAAGAGTGTTTATGGTATTTTTATAGTTAAACTTCCGATTCTTGTTTTGAGTGCAAGTATATGGTAAAAGTTGCATGATATCGAGCTAGTCATTTCTGAGTACATTCTCATGGAGTTGACAATTAGTAAGAAATCAATTGTGGCATGGATTATTAGTTTTCATTTTGAGGAAGGAGGATAGCTACCTAAAGCCGCCTTGACAAGATTCAAATTTGGGATACCTATCAATGAACTATTCAGTGTTCTGACTGATGTTTACTTTGGACCTATTAACAAATTTTATGTTTTTCAGCTGATGTATTTTGCAAATTGAGCTGCTTGGCTGCTTTACCTATTTGATGAGCAATTATTATTTGACCAATAGTGATCTGTGCTCGAGTTGCTAGGTTCTCTTTAACTTGTATGAGAATAATGTTTGTTTGTTCCACTTTAATATGAGTTTATATTTTTGGGTTTTGAGATTGGTGAAACGCTAACTATTTCTTGTACCAAAAATACATTGAGCAATTACCTTTACAAATTCCCTCTATGAATTCCTGAGATGACAATGTTTATTCTACCCTCAAAAGAGAGATATTCTTTAGGTTATATTTTCCTTTATTGACCTTTTAAGCTTTTGAAAGATGTATGTCAAACAAAAAAAGAAACAAAATATCTTCTATAAAGGGATGTAAATAATGAAGCATGAAAGAAGAACATATAACCATAGATGAGTATTTAAGTGATTACTCTTTAGAGAATATTTTGTTTCCCCAGAATTGCTTGGTTGCTAGTTGAGGAATACATTGTACCAATTCCATGATTTCTAGAACATGAATTGGAGGAATACATTGTGTCGGTTTTATAATGTCTAGAACATGAATTGAATGAGATCTGAGTAGGGTTGCAACTTGGGTTCCATGGTCACTGACTGCTTGGCAAAGGACGGGTTTGGGTGTCAGGCTTCGGATGAAATTACATAGCTTTTGGCCATGTCAGGCCTGGCCTGCTGAGTGGCCCAAGCTGGACCAAGCAAAACAAGGCACCAGAGTCTGTTTGGTCTGGCCTGGCCTCACAAGTCTAAGCCTGGCGTGGTCCATTGCAATAAAACAGATTAAAGTTTAGATAAAAATGTTAAAGTATATTGGATACATTTAAAAATCTATTAGAATAGTAAAGTATTTCTAAAATATGTCAAAATTTTTAGAAAACTAAAAAAAGTTAACCTAGCCTTGTCCCAGCCCAATTGGGCCAAGCTTAGATCAGGATTGGGTTGCTCAATCCCAAACTCCTCATAGCCCAAAAATGGCCTAGTTTTACAAGCCTAAGCCTTGTCTAAGCCTGGTCCTGGCTGATCAAAATAAATTCTGTAATAAAAGTATATAAAAAATATTTTAAAATATCTAAAAAGAATTAAATAGATTAATAATTTAGCAATACTTAAAAAAACATTAAACATATAAAATGTTTAATTATCTCTAAAACATATTGAAGTTTTAGAAAATTATGAAAATTAGCCGTGCCTAAGCTTGGTCTAGGGTGAGCCTGTCCTGGGCTACCCAGGCCTAAACTAATTTTACTTGGTTGCTTGTTTCGTTATCAACACCAGATCCGAAAATGAAGACATGAATCTTGAAATTTTCAATTCATTAGTGTTTGCAAATACTTTCCTTGTTTTTTCTAGTAATTCACTGCTTTTGTTTCTTATTTCTTGATAGTGGTGAACGTACCTTTGTAATCCATTTTCAATTAGTCACTTGTATCACAATTGGCTCATGTTATGTCTAGCTCTTTCACTGGGCCATGTGCCTTCCTGCAATCTCTGAGGCCTCTTACAATGAACTATGAAATTTTATTGTTATGATGTTGGTTCTAACTGGAATCAAGACTTAGGTTCTGCTAAGTCTAAGTGACGTTTTGATATTTTATTTAATGTTTCACAATCTTTACAGTTGTATCTTAGTAATAAGTTTTGAAGTTACTTGCTTTGTTAATTATTCAGGGGACGCTGTGAAGCTGGTTGATTCCCATATATCTGGGAAGATTCTTCAATTGAAGGAACAAATAGCGACACTTGAAAAACGTGAAGAAAGGTAAGTCAAGAATGGAGATAATATGGTCCTTTTGCATGGTATGACAGTTATCCAACTTTTCTCTCTGAAGCATTTAAAATACCATGCAACAGATACAAGACTGTTTTTGCGGATAGAATTTCAGTATTCAGGAGGGCCTGTTGTGAGCTTTTTGGTTACAAGGTATCATATGCATATTGGTTTCGTATTTTCTTCTACATTCTCCTAACTTTTATTCACCAGAAAATGGGGACCTAAATTTGACGGATTAGCTCAGTGAATGCTAAAGGGGGTGCTGATGCGAGTGGCCACTCACATATTTGTTTAACATTCTTGTAAAGAAGACATATTTGTTTGTTCATAATGTTAAGTATGAAATCATAAATAACCTCTACCAAGATTACCAGCATATACTGCTGAGTTTCTTGTTTGTTTGTTTTTAATAGCTAAATTATCTAGAACTTTAATGTCCAGTGGCATTAAAATAGGTGCCAATAGGTTGGCCACATAGATTTGCTGCAGGACCCAGGAAATGGACTAAGAATTGGTTTCAGCTTCTTACAAAATTACCCTAATTAAGGTGAAATAATATAACTCTTTGGTTTAGAACTTTGAATTAGAGTGTTTTAAATTTTTCACAGGAGATTATCAACTTGGACCCTAAAAGCTTGGAAGGTTCGTTGCAATAGCCTTTTATACATATGTATTCCAAGGAGTTGAATACATCATTTCATAAATTACAACTAATTATAATGTTTACCTAGATATCAATTGTTCTTTCTACTAGGCTCAATACACCATGATTGTATGCCTATAGGGCCAAAGGTCTGACAAGTACAAAACCTAGGACCGTAGAAACTTGGTATCAGAATAGGAGATCATGAAGATCTTGAATCTAACTTGTATCCCTTTTGGGTTTGTGAATAATCGACGAAGATACGTTAAATAAGTTTCAAAACATTTCGGTGAAAAAGAAAGGCTCAGGTTGTGTTTAACAGATAACCATTTATCCTCTTTGCTATTTCGTTTTGTTATGGGCTATTTGGACATGAGTTTTCATGGGTGATGCCTTTATTTGAGAAAGTGGAGAGAGTTAGGTGAAAAAATCATGCACATTATCAGATAGGTGTCTTTTGATTTTAGCACCAAATTGAATGTGAATCATAGCTTGGAATTCTGAAGCACATTGCTTATATCCAATTTGGATTTAAAGAGGAATATCGAAGAGACTCTAATGCGATCATCAATAAAAGATAAACTATTGTGACCTAGGACATATTTTGAATAGTAGAGGGTCCCTGAATATCGATATGGAATGGTAGGACTTAGCTTCTTTGATTACTGATTGAAAATGGAACACAGGACTTAGCTTCTTTGATTACTGATTGGAAATGGAACACATTCATGTTTTGCAAATTCACAAGCCTTGCAATTGAAATGATCAGCACTTAGTCCTTTAAACCAAAAAGGAAGCATGGTTTCTTAAAATACCAAAAATGTGCACCCAAACTAAAATGATGTGTCCAAATAATTTTTTTGTTGGATTATGATAGAAGTAATGGAGATAATCTATTGGTGTTTGAGTTCATTTACTTGCTTCTTCAATATCGTAGTGCCTGTTGTACGTTGCAAGTTCAATCCTCTTCCTAAATCCTGTTCTTGAAATAAATGGTAAGAATGATAAAAAAGTACATTACAATTCATACTATGAGTATGGCCTTACTTGAACAGAATCTGTCCTATAGGCTCGTACCTCTATGTTCTTGTGTCCTAAGGAGACAGAATAATTGTGACTGTGTGATCAGAGTGTGATTAATGACGGAGACGGTTCCTGAACCATTGATGTTGTAGAGGATTGCTCTCAGTTGAGTTTGATCCTACATGGGTTGGTCACTCGATTATCTGACAAATTAATCAAAATATTTTTTTATCTCAAAAAAAAAATTCGTACCATGAGTAAGTTTTTTGTATAGATATGATGTCAGTAGATAATTTGGGACATGGAGAACATTTTTAATGAAACGGTGAGATTTAGAGCTCTTATTACTGCCTCCTCCGTCAAAAGGATGAGAATGAGAGCAATGTGCTGAGATGCTTGAACGAGGTATTATTCAACCAAGGTTATCTCGTTTGTCTTCCCCAATACTATTGGTTGAAAGAGCAGTTGGATCTTTTAGATTATGTGTGGACAATAGAGGTTCGAGAAATAAAACAAGGAAAGACAGCTTTCTAACACTAGTCATTGATGAATCTTTTGAGTAACTATATGGAGCTTGTTTTTCACCAAACTGGATCAGTGTCACTAGATCTAGATGCATGATAGTGACATAGACAAAACTATATTTTGTACAAATCCTGGTCAATGAGTTCCAATCATGCAATTTCAAATTGACAAATAAATAGTTAGCATTTAAATTCTTGATGAAAATGGTTTTCTAGGAGAATTACTGATTTTCATCTTGTTCTTTTTTTTAGATATCCTCAAGTGTAATAGATCTTGGAAAAGCATCTTTCACTCTAATCACAATTCTATCAGGAAATTGATAATTTTATTCATTGAAATAATTAAATTTGGATTATATATCTTTGGAATAAATTCATTGTGAGCCTACATTTGGTTCAATTTCTATTTACTTCCTAGTCAAAGTTCAGATCTAAGTTTTATATTTACTTCCTATTTATCTACATTTCCCTCTTTTTTTGTTTGGGAAGCCGCTAAGGAGCACATACTTAATTTTGGACAATCTTCAAAGGAGAGGCCTTAGCCTTGGTGAACAGATGCTATCTTTGTAAATCCCGATCGGAATCCATAAATCACCTGCTCTTTTGGTGTCAGTTCTCTCACTCTCTTTGTTCTCTGGTTTTCAGCATTGTGGGTCTGAAATGGGTCACTGCTGGGCCTGTAAAAGGGGAGCTCCTTGCTTGGGAAGGTTTCTGCAAAAGCAATCCTAATCATAAAATCATTCCCTTAGTTATTTTGTAGATTATTTGGAAAGAACGAAACTATAGAACATTTGAGGGTAAGTTATCTGATTTTGCTGTTATCAAGGATAAATGGCTGCATCTTTTTTATTCCATTGTGCTCGGTCACACTCTTGATTATTTTGTTGATTTAGAATCTATTGTAGATATTCTCATTGATCTGTAAATTTTTTGTACATAAGCGGCATCCCCTTGGGTGCCTTCTTGATAACAGCAAAATCTAAAAAAATATCAGTCTTATTATATATAATTAGAACAAAAGTTGTTTTTAACTTATCGACATCCTACCTTAAATTTTTTGATGGTTGGGATGACGCATAATGGGTTATTGCCTAAATAAATTAGAGAGTATAATTTTTTTCAACATAAAATTACTTTACTATTTAGCAGTCTATTATTATAGTTTTTGTATTTTTTATATATTTTAATATATTCCCATTTAGGATTTTATTTTATTTTTTATGTTCTTATTCTTTTAATGACTGGGCTACTTCTTTCCACGAGCTGTGAAAAAGGGCTCTTTCGCTTCATTATGGATTAAGGCACATGGCTGCTATTCTACCACAAGCAATATGGAGCTCCATCCAAACTGAGAAGCTTTTATCTCTAGTAGTTAGGGAATTGATTATTTGCATTTCTTTATTATCGTCATTTTTGGCTTTTGTATTAGCATTATGAGGTGGATGTGTCATTCTCCTTGATTGTATTGTTCTGTTTCTTACCATCACTATTAATACTTCTTCTTTTATCAAAAAGAGGATTAATATTCCTAATTGTTTTAGTATTAGTATTTGCATTTTATTAGGAGTAGTATTTCTAAATTAGTTTGGCTATTTCCTAATCTAGTTGAGAAAAACCTATTTACCACTATAATATTATCATTTTCTTTTGAGAGGACCATTCAAGTATTCAATATTATATTTTGATAGTTTCTATGTATTTGATTGTGTGATTCAATCAACTTTTAGGTATGATGCCCTAAGAACCCCAGGTGTGACACTTAGGTTTTTTCTCCCTAATTTTTTAGTAGGTAACTTATCTCTAATTTGTCCAGCATCGATTTGATGTCAGAATTAAAAATGACCGTTTGAAAAGAAAATTACAGGAACCCAAAAATGTCCGTTAGTTCCAATTCAACAGCCACTAGAGGTGGTCGACACTGCCTCTACCACCAGTCTTAGAAGGTCCCAACAGGTGGAGTCCCAAAGCCTGTCGCGGGATTCCACAAGGAACTGCCAAATTTGCTTACGCAAGCTGTCCTAGCTGCTGTCTCTCGTGATCCCGAACTTTCGTGTCTTACATTGGCCTCTACTCTGTGACCAACATCTCCCATTAAGCCTACTGCTAAAGGGTCACCACTGTTCAATGATCTGAAGTCAGCATGTAAACCCACATGTGTCTAATAATGAGTAGTCCTGGCTCAATCTGTTCTGTTTAACTTCCTTGACGTTTCAGGTTAACGAGGCTGGCTCTTGGGACAGTTCTCGCTTCAAATAAACCTTTCTAGAAAGAAGTTTAGTTTGAATAATGGTGACTAACATGAATTAAATACTAAACTGTATATATGAGAGGCAACCACTAATACCAGACTTGAACAATGCACAACATAATTGATGTAGGCTTGGAAGAACTAAGACGCTTGCGTACAACACAAGTACCAATTCAGAATCTACAAGTTACCTATGGGAGATATATTGAAGATAATGCCAGAGATCTTACCAAGAGGATAAATTTCAGAGATCCCAATTTTGATGGAATAAGGTATCTCGAACTTGGTTAGCTTGATTCAATAGAAGAAGACTTCAGTTGGTATGAAATTTCAGACGCGTGAAGAGCTTGATTTGTCAAGATAAAGCTAGTTGGACTTGCAAAAATATAGTGGTAAACTATTTATGAGAGCATAACAAGAAGACAATCGACAATTGAAACATATGCAGAGATGAAAGTCATTCCTGATGAACAGTATTTATCTTCCAACTACTTCGACAAACTATATACTCAAGCTTACACTTTTTAGTTCAGTGTAACTGAATACATACTTGAAGAATTAAAAATTTGGAGTCAATTTGATGGAAATGATAGTCTAACAGTATCTCGATTCGAGACGTGGTTAAAAGTTGAAACTAAAAGAGGGTTAATTTGACAACCTCTTGCAGTCATAGCACAAACTTACAAACTTTCCTTGATGCGGAAAAATATTTGAAATATCCAACGTAGGTAACATTGTTTTTCCGATCATGGAATCTGCTTCTAAATCCTTGAATCAGAAAGTAAGCTGAAGAATGGATCAATATCAATTTCCATAACTACTTCTAAAGCTAAGTAAATTGCTTGCTTTACATGTGGACATAGTGGACACAAAGTTATGAATGCCAAAAGAAGAATAACTTGCACGTTGGAGTGAAACAAAAGGGACTAGTGCAAGGGAGAGATGATGGTTATATATCTTAAAAAGAGGATGATTTAGCTCGTAGTAAACAAGTATCTCCTTTCTTATGGTGCATATCATCAGACTCGAAGGTGGAAGAGCAAGAAGAATTCCTATTGCCCAAGATCTTTCCCCAAGAGTCAACTCTTTGAAAGTCCCATTCGAAAAGGGCTTTGACATACCAATTGGTCGATATGTTGATTTCATCATCCACCAAGATTTTACACTCTTAAACATTTGCATATTTATATTATATTAGGCATTGACAAGAATAACTATACATAAAGGTTACTTAGTTTTTACAGGGAAGCTCGAAACTTAAAGTTTTAGATCATTTGCCTCTTCAAATTTATTGACAAGTTTTCTCTAGCCAAGGCAGAATGATGCATAAATAGTTTTGGTAGCTTTAGGACTTTATTTTTTCGGTATCTAGACTTCCAATTTTTTTTAAAAAGTATTTAGACTTCCTATTTATTCTAATATTCCTACTTGTATTAGGAGTTAGTATTTCTAATCATTTTAGTACAAGTATTCCTGTTTTATTAGAAGTAGTATTTCTAAATTAGTTTTGGTATTTCCTAATTTAGTTGAGAAAGACATAGCACTCTATATATATGATTGTAACCTTTAGATGGTCATTCACATATTCAATAGTATATTTTTTTCAGTATTTGATTATGTGATTTAACTCTTAGGTATGATGTCTAAGAATCTTAAGTTTGATACCTAGGTTTTTTTTTCCAATTTCTTAATAGGCAAAATAATTGTAATTTTTCCTCCATCATGGGAATTAATTTTTGCCTTTAAAGATAGAGAATAGTGGTTACTCGTACACAATAAATTATGTTCTAATTATGCCAAATAACACTAATATGAGAATTTGAAGTAGAAATTGCCCTGGAACTGAATGAGAATGAACTCAAACACTATGTAGTAGTATGATGTATTGGATATGTTTTAGAAACAATGGTATTAGATTAAAAGAATCATAACGAAAGAGATGGTTAAGCTTTTAGGTTAACCTTAAACTACTTATGACGTTGCAAGATGGCATCAGCTTCTAATTTGTGGAACTTGTTTTTTTGAAATAAAAATGTAAATAGTATATTGACATGGTACCAAAAAAATGGGTACTATCCCATTTATAAAAGATTTACAATGTAGTTAACATGTTAATGACAATTCCAAAATTTTCATCACTCATAATATTATGCCTTAACAAGCTTGTCCCAAAATAATTAATAAAGATTTTGGAGAAAATAAACTTCTAATTTTATTTTTTATATTCTCTGTGTTTACACTTAAAAGATATATATAGAGTAATTGTCATTTTTTAAGAAAATTCTAATTACATGATATATCTTTACTATTAGAACTCTAACTAATAAAATATCATATTTAGCCTAATACTCTACTTAACATAGAATCATTTTGAACAATTTTTCACCCATCTCTTAATTTATACAACCCAACTTCTTTCCCCTCAAATGCTCTAGTATTTCTTTCTTTTCAAAGAACCCAAAAAATAGTAAATGGAACCAAAGTGGTAACACTGCCATTGATATTTAGCCCATCCTAAATCCAAAATTCACCCCTAGCATTCCCAGTCATAACCCAATTAATTCCCAGCAGCCCATAAATTGTATTCTGCAGACTATAAGCTACAGGGCACCATAAAAGTAAGTGATTGCAAGTTTCCTCGGCACACATATAAAGGTAACATCTATTAACAATAATCTGCCCCCTCCTTTTTAATTTGTCTGTAGTGAGAATGCTTTCTCTGCATGCTTCTCAAGCAAAAAAAGGCACTCTTGGAGGAACTTTAGAATTCCAAATTTGCTTAAAGGGGAAACTCCAATTGTCTTCCCCATCCCCACCAAACAGAAATCTGCAGTATGACTGGACAGAAAACTTTCCCCTCTTTTCTAATTTCCAGAAGACCTTATCTGAGCTCTCTTTCACTTTCTGCTTTTCCAAAATTGACAAAAGCTCTTCAAACTCTTTAATTTTCCAATCATTTAAGTATCTATTAACTCTAACAGACCATTCAACACAATCATTGTAAATCCAACATGCATCAGCCACCACCCTCAATTTCAAATGGGCAATCTCAAAAATTATGGGAAACCTGTTCTGCAAGCTGTCTTCGCCAATCCATTTGTCACACCAGAATCTGATTTTGTCCCCTTTTCCCAGATTCCACTGGATGCAGCTAAAGAAACTCGGCCATTGTTTCATTATATTCTTCCACAAGCCTCGTCCATGAGGCCTAGAGCTGGCCCGAGTACATACTGCATTCTGATCTCCCCAGCGGACAAGCACAATTTTTCTCCACAGCTTGTAATCTTCATTCAAAAACTTCCATAACCATTTTCCTTGAAGCACCAAATTCACGTTGATAAGAGATCTTATACTCAAACCACCACTAAGAATCGGTTTTTTGACCTCCTCCCAATTAACCAAATGATACTTCCTATTTCCATCTTCATCGCCCATAGAAATCTACATTGAAACTTCTAATTTGTGGAACTTGAAAACCAAATTTCTATACCATCTCGGATGTATTTGGTTTTGCAAGCATTAGTATCTCCAAACATTTAATTCAAAGCAAGCTCTCGCACATGAATTGGAAATCGGGTGCCCCTCCAAGAATTGCTTTTTTTGCCTGGGAAGCCGTAAAAGAGAAAATCCTGACAATTGACAATTTGATGAAAAGAGGACATACTACTGTAAACAAGTGTTTCTTATGTAAGAGATATCTTGAATCATGTAATTATCTACTCTTGAAATGTCAAACATCTCACAAACTCTGGAGCATGATATTCGGGCTTCTGGGGATCTCTTGGGCAATGACAGATTCTATTTATTCTGAATTTCTGGCATGGGAAGGGTTGAATAATAACAAAGCGCTTAGATTAATCTCTCTTACCATTTTCTGGGTTATTTGGAAGGAAAGAAACAACATGACTTTTGAGGGGCTTGAACGAGATTTTATTAGTATAAAAAATAAATGGTTTCATTATCTTGACTCTACTGTTTAAGAGTATAATTTAAAATGTTTTGAAGATTTTGATTCTATTGTAGATATGCTAATTGACATGTAAATTTTTTGTAAATGGGTGTTGCTCTCTTAACACCTCACATTAATACATCTTCTCTTCTTTTATTAAAAAAAAAATGGTCGGGTTTTCTAGTGCATCATCTAATACTCCCTGCCTTTTCTATTTTTGCTTGATTTTTTTTTTAAAAAAGAAAAAGAAACATCTGTTAATAAAATGTCTAATCATCACTATTTTGCTTAATATTACCATGAAATGGGCTAATTTCTGCTTGTTTTTTATTTTTTATTATTTAGAAGTTGTTATAATGATTAATACATTTATACCTTCTATCTGTTAGGCATGCATAATAAGATAACAGTTATTATCTTTGTACTAGGATGGAAATATATATATATATATTTTGATAACTTTTTCTGCAGATTGTAATGGATGAACATCAACGTCCTAATGGAATTCCTGTAACGAGGTTCACCCTTCAGTCTATTTATGCACAAAGTGATGATGAGAAGCTTGAATTTGAGTATGAATCAGGGAATACAAACATTCTGGTAAGATGGCATTTGCATGACATTCTTTCTATTATCGTTTTGTTTGAACTTCCTGCAGAAGCAAATTTGAAAATGGATAACCATGTTCGATCTGTAGGTGAATGAGTATTTTTTTCAACCTGAGATATCCCGTCAGGTAATCAGTAATGCTTTTTTAGAATAATTTAAGGCTAACAGCGTAATTTTCTCTTTGTAGTTTCTAGAATTGTTAGAATTAGTTCAGATAAATCCATTCTCTAACAGAAATTTTTTCCAACACTTTTAAATTTAATATGTTTGGCTTAATGAGATGGCATTCATGCCATTGGTAGGAATATGGCAGTGATGCGAAGTTTTTTCTTTCTTTTTATATTCTTACAAAATAATATATTAAATTATTTAGTTAATTAAAGACAGTAAGAAATTATAAAGACTCTAATCTCCGCCCTGCTCTTTTTGTTCCACCAGAGAGCACCCTGCCCCTATTGTTGCCATTGATGACCATGGTAGAAAACAGTATAGGGGACTTAAACTGAATTTCTCCACCATGGTCATATATTCCGTCCATCTCTGCTTTTATTCGCTTATTTTGGCCAACTATATTCTCCATTAACAATCGATAGAAAACCAGCATATTTCACCATATCTTCTGATGTTTGTCTCACTTGTATCTTCTCTCCTCACTTCCTCTTTTTCCACTTCTTACCTTCATCATACTGTTCCTCTCAAACTCATCACGTCCATCTACCTCTTAATTTTTCTTCAAGATTTCCTAGCAATGTGATTTACAGATGGACAAAAGAGAAAGGACAAGGGTGGTAGCTCTTGGGGGGGTGTGGTTTCAGGTGTGAGGATCTGGGTTTCTTTAAGAGAGGATTATGGTTCGAGTTCTCTGGTTGCTGGAAAATCTTGTAGCAAACAGACTTCTTGCTTGCCCAATTTGTGTCCTTGATGGCATATGATTGAAGCTCATTAGAGAGAAGCCGCTATTTCCAGGAACAAAGGACTGTAAAT